AGTCCACGCGATGGACAGACTTCGGATCTCGGTTTTAGGTCCCATAAACTAGGGTTTTCACCCCCGTTTCGACGCACCGTGAAGCCTCCCATGAACCTCGCTCATCCATGCATCATTCAACAATCAAAATCATCAAACAAGCATAGATCTCATGTTTACATGCATTCTAACCATTAAAACCATGAAAAACATGCAAAGATCTATAGTCACATGCATTCTAACAATTAAAAATCATGCAAACCTGCAAAGATCTATTGTTTACATGAACTTTAACAATTAAAATCATGCAAACAAGCAACAGGCACAGCGATATACAAGTAACCAGGCTCTGATACCACTGTTGGGTTCCCTGCGGGTTCCTAGCATGCGATCTCATCGATCTAAGGTTTGGATTCTAGGATTCACGCAGCGGAAGGAAAGATTTAAACCTAGCCAAACATCACACAAAACCAATTGTGCAATAACCCGAACAATCGTGTATATCGTCGTGGGATTCGAATACTTACCTCGTTCTTTCAAGATCTGGAAGTATCAATCGATCCAGGGCCTGTTTTAATCACCAAGAGTTGAAAGCACAACTCCTCTACACGTATCCACACCGGCGGGATGAATTCCAACAGGTTTGGATTCTAGGATTCACGCAGCGGAAGGAAAGATTTAAACCTAGCCAAACATCACACAAAACCAATTGTGCAATAACCCGAACAATCGTGTATATCGTCATGGGATTCGAATACTTACCTCGTTCTTTCAAGATCTGGAAGTATCAATCGATCCAGGGCCTGTTTTAATCACCAAGAGTTGAAAGCACAACTCCTCTACACGTATCCACACCGGCGGGATGAATTCCAACAGTTTGGAACGTATCTGCTAGGATTTGTGAAGAGAAAACGATGTCCTTGACTTGGAATCGATATTCCAATCACTAGAACTCAAAATCAAGCTTCTCTAAGCTCTAATGAGTGTCTTGGACGTCTGAGGTTCGTTCTCTAGGGTTTGTGGCGGCTCTCTAATTAATTAGAATTGCCCAAAAACCCTTAAAACGCGAAATAGGAAATCTGCCGGAAAGTCGGACCGTCCGGTCTAGGTCTTGGACCGGACGGTCTGGCTTTCCACGCGAAACGGACGTTCCGCTTTCCCTCGCAGAACGGACGGTCTTGATGCCTGGACCGTCCGGTCCACACCTGGACCGGACGGGCTGGGAAAAGAGCGATGGAGCGATCTGGAACGGTCGGTAAGGGCTGGCCCATCCGGTCCAGGTCTGGACCGGACGGTCTGGCCATCTGGAACTCTTCCAGATTGCTCCGTCGTTCCTTTATCGCGTTGTTCTCTTCACGCATGATCCATCCCTAATGATGTGTGACCCTGTAGGCCCATTCGAAGTGGCAGTGGCTTCGGAAACCCTTTCCCGAACCACAAGTCATGGTTAGCCTCTAGCAAGACGCCATCGATCCTTTGTCTCACGATGTCGTATGTTGAACAAGGGCATGGTATGAGCCACCTTTCAAGTTTAACCGCTTACTCGTCTAGGCAAACCGACTGATAAAATAGATGTACATTCATCTATAGCGTGGCCACGCATTTTCACAGTCCGATTTCCACGAGGGGCCCAGCGACATCTCTCCTGCGTAGGAGGTGACAAGTCCCGTATTGCATGTCTACTATCTGCATATGATTCGTGAACGTATCTGAGCAACGCCGTTATGATCATCCGGTTAAAGACGACGTTTGACGCAGTCAAGACACGTCACTCCTCATATCAGATACTCTAGACATCTCAGGTCTGAGGATCCAAGAACGAACCGCTGTATGAGATTCAAGTCATGACTCATGTCCATGTGACAATCTCATGCGGGTCATCCAGTAACTCGTTCCAAACGAGAACCCATGATTGTGACTTGCATCTAATGCATATGATCATAATCATCTATCACACATCATGCTGGTCTTAATTCATCATTGTTCCCACAATGATAACTGACCAGGGAATTTAGAATCATCTGCAATGATTCAAGGATATTTACCGTAATATAACAAACATGCAAATCATATAACGGGAATAGTAATAGGATATTCACCGTAATATAACAAACATGCTAATCATATAACGGAAAAGTAATGCATTCATAAACTAATGAATCAATACATAGTCAAAATATCATATCAAGGATCATCGTAGAGCATTACAACCAACAGGCACCACGAGGAGATGGCCCATTTCGCATCCTTGAGAAGATCAACGACAACGCCTACCGCTTGGAGCTTCCCGGTGAGTATAACGTATCTTCTACATTTAATATCACTGACTTGTCTCCTTTTGATGTAGGTGAATCTGTTTTGGGGACAAAACCTTCTCAAGGGGGAGGGGATGATGAGGACATCGATCCTAAAGAGGATGAGGATGCTGCCAAGGAGGAAACTAATGAAGAAGAGGCAATCGAAGACGTGACAATGCCAATGATGCCGGAACCACCGCTTACAAGATCAAGGGCAAGGAGTTTTCGCACAAAGACAAATCAATTCGTCTCCAACATCATAGGAGGGCTAGAGGAGTGGATTGGAGAATACAACACATTCTTGCAAAAGAGATCAAGAACCGACGCTAATTGGAGAAACCAAGAGCATTTGCATTATCCAGCCAAAATCAGCCAAAACCGGAGATTAAACCAAACTAAACCAAGATCAGATGATTCTCTTCATGTGGAGTACGAAATTTCCTTTTCAAGACCACCTAGGAGAAGAAAGGAAGAGGATCAACACAAATGACACTTTCCTTATTCGTTTCAACAGCTAGGAGGAGACTTGTTTCTTTCCTTTTCCTTATTTCCTTTACTCTCTTTCCTTTTTCCTTTGCTTCTGATGTGTCCAACGGCTAGGACAGATTTTCTCCTATTTCTTTACCTAATTTTCGAGTTTTCCTTAAGAATAAACAAGCTTGATCATTATAAAAGCTTGCTCATGTATTCTGCAGAAGACAGACTTGAATAATAAGAATCTGGAAGTTTTTCTTTCTCCTTTGCTGAGAAATCTGTTCTAACTCCTTCTCTCTTGCATTCTTGCATTAGGGTTCGAGTTTTGGACTGTATCAAAGAGCTTTCACACTCTTTGTGGTGTCCCTCGCCTCCCTTACCCATTCACGTTCCCTGGAAGCTAAACGAGAGCCCTTTGGCCTGTTTTGATGAGGACATCGGAGCTAGTAGCTTGGACGAGGACGGGAGCTTAACGGAAGGAGCTAGCTTGGATGAAGATAGGAGCTTAACGGAAGGAGCTAGCTTGGACGAGGACGGGAGCTTAACGGAAGGAGCTCTAGAAGATGTTGAAGACTTGACCCATCACGCGTCAAGACCTTTGCCGAATGATCATAACGTCACAAGATCATTCGAAGCCGCGGGAACGGGAATTGACGTGCACAATGCGAAGGCTCCCCGAGCAACCCATAGAGCCGAACCACCACTTACTCGTGCTAGAGCTCGAGCGCTTCGTGTTACACTCAACAAGGCCGTCAATGACATTCTTAGCGGATCCCGGGAGTCCAATGACAACACTTCACTTTTCGGATGCAATTCAGCCCGACACTTGCTTACACTCGAAGAATGCATCTCCTAAGGCCCAAGTGAAGCCCATGGACCTTAACCCAGCAAGAATCTCGGCCCATATGAAGCTACAACAGCTATATTTTGTTGTTTGTTCCAACTTTAAAGCTAAGCTTGCATGTAAGCTAGCATTTAATGCTTTGACTACTTAAACTCTTCTTCCAACCTTGTAATCTTCAGCACACTTGATCATTTTTGCAATTGAACTTTGTTTGAGACATCTTTCTCTCTCAAAACTTGGCTGGTTTGTCCGCCTCCTACTGCACGAGTCGCCGGTGTGTCCGCTGCTCGTGTCGCCGTCCGGTGTGTCTGACGGCCCCCGTTGAGCTCGGTTAGTCCGGCTCTTCCTCCTTGGTTTGTCCAAGGATCTATCCATCACTCCATCTCTTCCATAAGCTGATTCTAATCCGAATTCGAGAGCCACTTCGTGAGCCGGTGATTGGGTTAGAATTCCGTTCGATCGTCCCTTGTTTCGTTCGTGTTTGAACCGCGAATTCGAGAGCCACTTCGTGAGCCGGTGATTGCGTGTTCAACATCTTTTCTTTCTATCTTCCGCTTCCGTGCGTACATTATTTTGGTATCAGAGCTTTGCTCGACCCAACGGTCGTTTTCCGGGTGAGATCTTTCCATTTCATCGCTTGTTATATTCAATTTCATATAAACTGAAAAATCCAAAACGAAAAACCTGATTTAGTTCGCTTGATAGGACTGATTGCTCTTGGTTTTGTTCGCAGCGAAAAAGGACCATATTCTAGGGAGGGACAAATGACTTAGATCGTCGATCGAGGCCACGCCATCTACGATTAACTCGTTCCCTTACTTGCGTTGCTTTCATTGTAAAATCGAATCTGTCCTACTACGTGTGTGCGTTGCGTGTTGCACGTTCATAGCTTCGTCTCGATTGCACGTTTGATTGAAATAAATTGCTGTTCACTTTAAGTGCTTGAATCGTTTGTATGTTGCGGGCTGCTGTGTCATTTACATTCCGTTAGCTGATCAATAGTTTCGCACGTTCATTTCTTAGCACGTTGTGTGATTCGCTTTGCACGTGTGTGTCTCATCTTCGTATTCGCTCACTGTTTGTTTGTTAGCCATTGCACGTTGAGTGATTGCTCCTTGATATCCACGTCTATCATTTACGCTCTTACACGTTGATTGGGATTCGTTTGCGTGTATAGTACGTTACGTGCATATTGCGAGACTTGAGCGAATTATAAACATGAGTGCTCACGATGCTTCCAATGAGGGATTGGAGATAGGGTCGTCTAGAAACCAAGAGATTTTCCGAGCCCTACAACAAATGATGGAGCGTATTTCTAAGTTAGAAGGATCTAGACCGGAAACCTAAACCATTAGAGAGACGAAACCTAGAAACCGAGCCCCGGTAGATCAATCTAGACCTCGGCCACTGCACTCACCCGAGACCCTTAGTGATGATGAGAGTGATATCGCCCCTAGAGTCCGAGCCCGAGCTAGGGAGGATGAGAGAAAACCCGAGCGCTCGGGAAACCATAGACAAAGACCTAACGACCGACCTAGACCTCGTGAGAGAGTCATATATGACGAGGAGTCGGACTATGACGAGAGACCGCGAGCGAGAGGTCACAGAGCTAGGGTTAGGGTCGATGACGATGAGTCCGACCATGAGGAGATACCTAGACGGAGAGTGAACCCTAGACCGAGAGATAGACCTCGTAGGTGGGCAGACGATGTCGAGGAAGAAGAAGAACTAAGACCTCGACAACCTAGAGGGCCTAGTAACGACCTTAAGCTTAAGCCGCCCCTCTTCGTAGGGAAAGTAGATCCTGAAGCATACCTAGATTGGGAGCGCCGTATGGATAACATCTTCGAATGTTATGCATATTCAGATCGACGGAGAGTCCAATATGCCGCTGCTCAATTAGCAGAGAATGCGCTAGCTTGGTGGGATCGGGAAACCACCGAGCGACGACGAGCTCACATAGAGCAAGTTGGGACTTGGCGTGAGATGAAGGTCATTATGCGCAAGAGATATGTTCCTCCGCATTTCCACCGAGAACTTCAAAGGAAGTATCGGAAGCTAGCCCAAGGAGCTAGGTCGGTGGAAGAATATTTTGAGGAGTTCGAACATATTAGGAGTCGATTAGAGCTCGAAGAGGATGAGGAGACGGTGATGGCTCAATTCTTAGATGGACTCCAGGAACGTATCGCTCGTAAGGTAGAGCGACATCCTTACCGTGATCTCCACGAACTCCTACATTTAGCCGTTCAATTAGAAAAGCAAGATCAGAGGAAATAATCCCGGCTAAGTAGAGTAAGATCCCAAGTAGGACCCTCGTCATATTCACCAAAACCTTCATCTGGTCCTAGGAAAGAAACGTCTGAGGTTAAAGTCTCGCGTGATCTCCGGGATAAAGGAAAAATCCCCGAAGCTTCACGAGCTCCTAAACCACCCGTAGATAACCCTAGGGACACTCGATCTAGAGAGATCATTTGTTATAAGTGTCGGGGTCGTGGACATATGGCTAGAGATTGCCCAAACTCTCGCGTAATGATAATAATGGAAAACGGAGAGTATGAGTCCATTGATGAGGAAGAAGTTGGTGAACCCAACGAGGAGATAGAATATCCTGATAGCGATGAACTCTTAGTGACGAGACATGTTCTGAGCACCCTAGTTACTCCGGACGAAACTGCCCAACGAGAGACCATTTTTCACACTCGTTGTACCGTCCAAGGGAAAGTATGCGGACTGATTATAGATAGCGGATCATGCACGAATGTCGCAAGTGCATATATGGTCAAGAAGCTCGGCCTAGCTTCCGAGAAACATCCGCACCCCTATAAACTTCAATGGTTAAACAACAGTGGGGAAATTAAGGTCACCAAGCGAGTCAAGGTACCATTTAGTATCGGACGGTACCAAGACGAGGTCACATGCGATGTTGTCCCAATGCAGGCGGGACATGCTACTCGGTAGACCATGGCAGTTCGATCGAGAGGTCAGCCATGATGGGCGAGCGAACCAGTACTCTTTCGTTTATAACAAGAGGAAGATTGTACTCGCACCCCTTAGTCCATCTCAAGTGCATGAGATGCAACTAAAGCTAGCTAAGGACACCGAAGCGAAGAAGAAGAACTTCTACCTTAAAGCTAGT